GAGGATCCAGAGAGAGAACGACCTTCGCAACAAGATGAAAATATGATGAAGAACAAAAGCAGTATGAGGATCGACCGATGGAGAGAGAGAAAGACTTTGGCGATGGCTACAAGATGAAGATCTGATGAAGAACAGAAGAACTCTGTTTCCGAATCTGGACGGAAGAGCTAAAGAATCGTTCTTTTGGGTTTCTTCTTTGCCAATTTGTTTGGAATTTGGAGAAGCAATGGATTAGAGTTTAGAGACTGGAGAAGGAGAACTGCAGACCGGAGAGGAAAAGTGACGCCGGACAAGTTGAAGAAGAAGAATCGAAGAAGAAGGCTTAGCTGGTTAGGGTTCCTATTTCCTAGTTTTAGTATTTTACCAATTTGTATTGAAATTATGTTTTTTTTAGTATTTTGCCATGGAATTGAAATGTTTATAGGAGGGCAAAAGGGGTATCAAACAAAAAAAATATATATAAAATAGGTATTGAATTAAAAATTGGTGGAAAAAAATGAAAATGGCAGATTGGATTTGGCCCGCCGGGTTTACCGGGTCTTCCGGGTTGGGCGGTTTTACCGAGTCTGGCGGGTTTGGGCGGTTGGATCGCCCAAGCGGTTCTGGATATCCATTCGGTCCGTTTTCATGACCGGGTGACGGTCCGACCGGTTCAACCGGCCGGTCCGGTCCGGATTTCAAAACCTTGCTCCCAATATCTTTTGACTCTTAGGCGTGATGAGGCACATGCACATTGTCCACTTGGTTGTTGGTATTTTGGTGGGTTTTGAAGTTAGATTGAATTAAAGTTAATCAACGAGGCAAGAAAAAGAAAGCTGCAGCAAATGTCTCGAGGGCCCGATGAAATGAATTCGATGCGCGAGAAAAGGGGCTCGACAAGATTTTACGTTGCTGCGAGGCAATTTATCACCGTCCCGTCTTCAAGAGATAAGCACAAAATGTATAGTTATAAAAATCCTTTTTTAAATTAGTTTGTTGGGTTTGATGTTTTAATGCTAGGTAGACAAACCGAACGCTGTCCCCTTCTTCCGCATGCTCTACCCCTGCCTCTCATTTATCTTCTCAACTCCAAGAATAGGACACAAGCCCACCTGCAGATGCCTCAGCAAGACCACAATGGTCCCCATTTGTCCTCTTCGTCTCAGATTCCGAAAAAGGAGGATCCCAGTTCTGCAACGTTTTGTCCATCCGAGTGCTGCGGTAGAGAGAGGTTGGCTTGGCTTTTTGCAAGGGAAGGTGGGGATGAATTGATGAAGATCGGAGGGCTGTTAGTGCGGGAGACTTTAATCCCCACCGATAATCATTAATAAAGACAAGGAAATCTGCAGCAAATATCTCGAGGGCCCGGTGAAATGAATCCGATACTCGAGAAAAGGGGCTCGATAAGATTTTAGTGCTGTTAAGTAATTTGTCACGGTCCAGTCTTAAATAAAGAGATAAGTATAAAATGTCCAACACCCCGGACTCACTGATCCACGTGGTGAAAATCAGAGTGAAAACTCAATATCAACGGCAAGGAGAGGCTTGTCAAATGGAACCGAACAGGTGGTCACATTTTTTAATTTTTAGTCAAGTCAAACAGAAAGCTATTTGTCACAGTTCAATGCATAAAAATA